TTATGCATTGGGTACAGTTTTGTCATCTTTAAGATGTCTTTCCTATTCAAGTGTTTTCTAGAATCTAGTTCTGTAGTTAAGTAGAAGAAAAGCTGCCAAACTTCTAAATGAACTGCCTAAAAGTAGGAAATGGAATAGCTTTTTGGTGATACTTGTGGGGAGATTTCCACCCCTTCCCCCGCTTCTCACCTACCCACAGCAACTTGAGTTCAGGAAAAGTTTAAAAAGCAAAACCAAAATAACACTAGAGCTTTGGACAACTAGTATTTTCAAATAGCTGAATTTTCAATGGGAAGTACATACAGTAATAAAGAACTAGTTGAAATAATGTTTGAAACTTTACTTTCTTTGCTTTGACATGCTTGCTGTGATGATACATTATGGAAAATAAAGTTTAGGTTAGAGATTCTTATAACTTACCAGTACTAGAAGGCTGTTTAGCATGTATGTATTATATCATGACTAGAACTACATGCTGACCTTAACTTAAATCAATGCTAAATTACAAAGACTCACTGTGAGGAATTGTCTTCAGAACACACCTGTTAAGCTTATTTGAAAGCATGGACTTGGCGATTTAGTGTATGTATAACAACATTTAAAGCTGAATACAGTTTGAATATAGTTTCACTGCACAAAACTGTCTTGTGTATTCTTTTACCTGAAACAAAATTGGCTGAGTTAAAAACCTGCTGGGAAAATCTTGGCGTTTGTTGGGACTTAAACAGCTGTTATTGTAGAATATTGAGATGAGGAAATCCATACATCAGTGAAAAAAACTGAGTTGTGAATTTATCATAGTAACTTTCTCTCCTGAGGAAGATACATGGTTCTTTCTAAAATATAGCCATACAACTATAAGCACAACTAAAAGAACTCTGCATTTATCAAACAGTGAACTTCACACAGAGCAGTGTTTATTCTATAGCATATTAGAGTTATTTTGTTGCCTAAAAGGAGACAACATAATAGAAAGTAGTTATTTCTAGAGTGGAATTCCTTACAGACAGATGCAATGGGAAAGCAATGCACTCGGAAGTGGAGGGAAGAATATTACTGCTGAGGAGGAAAAATAAGGCATGAAATGGTTGAAATTTGGAAGAGATGGTGTAAGAAGCTGGTGGTTGAGTCAGAAATGGGATCTAAATCTGGACTGTTCTTATGATTAAGGACAAGATAACTTTCTTGCATCAAAGACAAATTGGAATTATCTGGTATAAAAGCATTTATTCTTTTCCTTTATTAGCTATAGCAGGTGAGTTTTTAGGCAGCTAACAGTGAAAGCTTTTATTTTATGCAGACGTTTAATTTTGATGTTCGACAACTACATTGGGCAGAATACATGGAAAACTACTGTATGGGAACAAAGAAATATGTGCTGAATGAAGAAATGTCTGGCATCCCTGCAGCCAGGAAACACTTGAATAAGTAAGTATAAACTTTTATTTTCCGATGTTTATATTTTCTGTGTTTTCCTGCCCCTGTGAAGTTTTTCTTTTCCATGTTATGACTTAGTTGTTCTTTGTAGCACCTGTTTAGGTCCTCCAGAATTCTTCTGTTCCAGTCCAGTGGTCTGAAGCATTTTCTAAAGAAGTCAAATGTTATATTTCTTATTCTATTTGTTGCTCCTGAGTTGCTCTCAGTATTAATAGTTAGAGTATTACCCTGGTTGTAGCTCTGATCTCTGGTGTATACTGAAATCCAGGTTTCTGGTTTTTATCCAAGTATCTTCTGGAAGGTAAAAAAGTACACAGTAACACAAGGTCAGAATGGCTTGTTCAGTTAATCAGGTTTAATAGAACAATAGTTGTTTCTTCTGGGAATATGATCTTTTGAAGCGGCCAAGTAAACAGGCATGGACTCTCCACCTCAGAGCAGGAGACTTTGATGTTGGTGCTCTAAGATGACCTCTCTTTGCCTTTTATCTGTGGCTTAATTCCTCCAGTTTGAATGTATTGTTACTGTCCAGAATTCTGCTGGCACGGTTGCCCTTGTTTTGTTCTTGGCTGATTCATAATGACAGTTGTAGGCTTTTTGATTTGTCTCCTTACAGAGTGAAATAAAAGTGATTAATCTTGTTCTGCAATACTACTTCATATCTGCTATCCTGATAGCACAAAGAGTAGTGGCCTAGGCCATTACTTCTGAGGACAAGGATTTGCAGTTGTAGAGTGGATTGGCATAACGTGTTACTGTGTCAAATACACTTTTGAAAGATGGTAATCTTTGATAATGGTGGGTATAGCTGAAGAGTTACCCTTGTGATCCTTTTTTTCTTTATTTTAGATGCTGTTAAAGAAATGCATAGGAGTTATCATACAGTTATTCTCTGTACGAAGGATTGTACCAAAAATAACATGAGAAATAGTCTTGTATTGGAACAGCATCTGGTTGCCCACAGCTCCCTGTTTATAAGTGGATTATTTTGCAAGAGGTTTAGATGCTAACATATATTTACTCTGAGGCATTAAGTTGGTTTCTCCTGTTACCGTCTAGCACTTAACTCTAATCTGAACTTGAGAAGTCCCTTGCTTCAATATTAACCAGATGTGGCAGCCTAGGGTACCTGGCTTCTTTAGGAAACTACTGAGTAGAATTTTTCCTCAAATAGAAAAGTGGGCTTTACTTTTGTAATACAGAAACTCAGACTGGTTTTGCTACATGTGTAGGTATATATGTAATATATAACATTACATATACCAACTAAGATATGTAGAGGAAGGTCTGGCTATATTAACACCCAGCCTAAGTGTAAAACAAGATAAGGCCAGTGAGTGTTTCCTTAAAAAGAGCTGCCTTTGGTTCAGTGGACCATGATAATTTGTATTTTAAAGAGATTGCTCTGTTACTATGAAATCTGAGCAAATTCTGGTTGGTTGCTGTTTGTCTTGAAACTTCTATCTTTACATGTGAGAAGGCTGCTAGAAGTCACAGTTGCCCTAAAAGGACACTTAGTTTCTCCTAATCTTTAAATATAGTTCCCTGGGAAGGAATGAGTTTAAAATTGCAGTGAAGACTCTGGGCTCTATGGCTGGAAAATCCTACCATGTGGGTTGTTTTTTTTTTTTTTTTTCTGTCAGCAGCAGTGGGAGTTACTTCTACATACATATGAAGTTTTAAATTCGTGGAGGGGAGGAGGGGATTTCATAGTGTTAAATATTTCCTTGGCTTTGGGGTGGATTGCAGCCTTCTATAGGTAAGTTACCATGTGTGTGACCTTGGCTTAAAGAGGTTTTTATCAAGCAGCTATAGAGCAGAAGTACCTGTGGTTAGCTACAGGGCTGTCTCTGTTCCTTAGTTTTCATGTGTTCCACTTTTTAGCAGTGAACTATGGAAAAGCCATCTCTGGTGCTTCACGTATTACCTTACTTCTTTCATTCACTTATTACCACCCATAACTTATCTTGAGACGAATAAATGAACAAATTAAATTCTACATAAACAGTTAATTTTTAGTGTGTTCTTTCCTCTAAGTCTTGGTACCTTGGCTTTTAATTATTTCTTTTGTTTTTCTTTAGGTTAAGGAATATACGCTATGGCTTCAATACAATTCTTGTGATCCTGATCTGGCGTATCTTTATTGCAAGATCACAAATGGCAAGAAATATCTGGTACTTTGTGGTTAGTCTGTGTTACAAGTTCCTCTCCTACTTCAGAGCCTCCAGTACTATGAGATACTGAAGAAGAGAATTTAGCCTAAGGACATCTATGCATATGGTGGTCTAACTGCACAAAGCCTGTAACATGTAGTCATCTCACATTTTGTAAAAGCATAATTTCATCTTAAATTGGAGCGCGAAATATACGGTATGGTATGTGTAATGTTAATTGTGTATCTTCCTGGAAACAGAGGAAAATAAAATGGTCAAGTGCCAGGGTTGAATTGGCATTAGACAAACATTTAAATAACTTTAAGTCTTTCACCTGGGGAAAACCATTTTAGACCACTGACCAACATAACTGTGCAATTTGGAACATGTTTGATTGAAATCTGCCTTAACATGATTTTTTTCTTTTAAGTTTTAGTCCACATTGAGCAAGATAAATATTTGACTTAGTAGTTGCTAGTTGCTGTAGATCTATTTATTTGAAATTCTTCTAAATTACAAAGGGTTTTACAAGTTGCAAAAGCATATAAATGACGGTGGATCTCCTGAAAAAAATTATTTGAGGACTTTTGTAATTTGTCTTTACTTTTTGCCACTTCTTCCCTTCTCAAAGTAGGGATGCAACAATGGTGCCTACTTTGCTTTAAAAGAAAAAAGGAAGAAAAACCCACAAAACCAAAAAACCTTCCTTTTGTCCAATCTAGTCTTCAGAATGCACTTAGTGATTCAGTTCTGTGCTCGAAACTGGCTGCATCCATCTTGCATTTATATCAGCATGAACAATTTGCTTCTCTGAAAGCAGAATTGATCCTATCATTGAGTAGATAAAGGAAATGTAACCCTGAGGGGGCAAAAATAAAGTCACTGACCGTCCTCTTTTTTTAATGACTTCTATTGAGAACACAGATCCAGCACTTGATTGTTACACTTCTGACTTCAAAAGGCAAATGTATTTGAAAGGAATTTATTATGCTTAGTTGCTATTTATATTACTGGTAATAGTATTTGGACAAACTATAGGCTTTCATTAAGAGAAATACCTGTTTTTAAATTCTAGGCGATGTTAGCAAATACTTCATGAATTAATAGTTTTTTAAATCTCTGAGCTGTGAAATTTGATGCATGGACAATGCCAATCCATAGCACACTTTCTCATCCCTGCCCCTCATTTCACTGTGCAAGCAGAGCGAGCTGCACCTTGCTTCAAAATGAAAGTATGTTGACAATTCTTCTGTCTTTTAACCTTAAATTGTTAAGTTTAAATCTGAGAAAATCTGGGTTTTCTGCATGTTACTTTGTTTCAGTAAGGAAAACATTTGCAAAAATAGCAAGTTGTAAGAAAAGATTGAACCCTCGTTTTAAGGCAATACATGAAGATCCCTTTAAATTTTGATTGCACAGAATTCTGTCTGAGAACACAGAAATGTTCCTTTAATTTGATGCACTGACCAGCACCCTTGCCCTGTGTTTGTTCATTAAAATCAGTTTATACTGATGAATATATTCTTGAATCTGCTTGGAAAGGCAAATAATGACTTAATTACACAAAAGCTACATTATACTTGCCCTTGGTAGGTTTTTGTCCTATTTGAATTACGTATGTAAAGAACTTATTTTGCTATTCTTGTGAAAACTCCTACTTTAAAGAGAACACCTTTCGTGCAGGTGTATATCTCATTTTGAAAAGATAATGGCTTCCTTGCTGAAGCTAAATATTCTGTAGTAAGTAGTTAAGCTGTAATTCCTTTTTAAAATTACCTGTGTACATATAAAGCTAGTGATGAAAACCCTGAATGGTCTAGGACCACACCTTGTGTGAGAGACCTCTGACTGTGGCTGAAAATAAATTATGGCTTCTGTGATTGAAGATGTTACACTTTAACAAATACATTAGGTGTATTACATTTTTAGTTGCCTCCCCAAGTATCTTACTAGACCTGAAAGTATGCTTAAGCATTAAAAAATTCCTGCTTTGTAGACTTTTTTTTTCCAGAGGTGCCTACTATCCAATGACACCCCTTGTCCCATGTTGGCTTGTGGCTGAAGTTTGCAAAAGACAAATACATCATATTCTGAAAATGATTCTGTGAAGCAATTCACTTATGAATTTTGGTTGTTTATAACTATTATACATTTAATGTTGATTTGTTAATCCTGAGAACTATGAAGCCAATGAACTGATTATTTCTGGTCCAAAACACTGCTTAGAAATCTATTCTTTTGAATTAAATAATGAAGACAAGGATTACTTTAAACATAAGGATATTTAACCTCTACTCTTCAAACATTTGCCAATTTAGAAACCCAATTTTTTTCCCCTCTTTGGAGACCATGGTTCCGTGCACTGTTGGTATCTTACACAAACTCATCAGTCATCCTATTTAACTGGCAGTAGATTCAGTGTCACATTTATTACATTAGTTTTGCCACTTCCTGTGGTCAGTCTATGAAGTTCTATCTGAAACTACTGGGGGTTTTTTCCATATCAGAACCCTGTTCTCTCGCAGTTCTTCATACCAGTGTTTGCACATAACAGATGTTGATCAAAAATACACCGGAACTATATTTTGATACAGTAAGCTAGGCTCACTGTACTGACTAGGAAGTTACAGGAGGTATTCCAGTTGGTTAAATAAGAAGAGCAGTCTGAAACAACATGATCACTTAACAGTTACTGGTATTTAGATTTGGGACCAGGAAAAAAATAACACTTTCCTGCAATGTTTTTTTTCTCTGCTGTAGGAACAGATGTTTGGAAACAAATGCTAAATCTGTGAGCTTTTATAAGACAAACAGAAATATTGGGTGCCTTTGTTTGTAAACCAAAAATAAACAAATCCCTTTAAAATGTTGTTACAGTGTTTATTGTATTTTTGCATGTTTTTAGTCTAATTTGTGGAAAATAACTGGATAGTGTCAATGCCATCTTAATATACATGGACATACTCTTTCCTTTGTGAGAAACTGAAAATCAAGTCAGTGACTAATACTGCATTTCAGAAAACAAAACAGAAAAACTTCCACAATCACAAAGAACAAAACCAACAAGGAAACCCTCCACAATTAAACCTTCATGGGATGATACTAAAACGCATGGTGAGGTATGCTTGGTCAGGGTGACTTTCTTGTATGTCAGCAGTCTTCTTGCTTTCATTGCATGTTCATTTGTGGTAATAGTTTCAAATTTGCTTAAATAGATGGGTACTTTTTCATATGGTTTAAAAGGGTACTGTGGTTTTGTAGTAGCTTTTGGATTAATATTTCAAGGAATTGCAAGCAACTACAGCTATTTGTAGCATCTACTTTTTGTAGTGAGGGAGGAAAAGGTAGCATTAAGTTAGTGTATCACCAAAATGGCTTGGGTTTTTGGTTTTTAACAATAATTTCTTGGAATCTTCAGATTTCATGGATTCCTCCTCCTTTTATCAAGAGCGCAGTTGTAGAAATCATGCATGATCTGTAAGCTGTAGTTTGGGGTCTACTAGCTTTAAAGCATAGCCTTTCTTTTGCTTGACTCTAAGTCTTAAAACTAGTAAATACACGTGATTTTTCTTGGTCTCTTTAGGTGATTCAAGGTGTAAGTAAGGAACAAAAAAAAGTTTTAAGATGTTATCCCTGATGTGTCTTGTGTTGTTTTGACCTTTCTTCATAGTACAGTATTGCATCGTACGTTGTTCAAAAACAAAGAACAGGTTTATAGAGGTAACTTGGATCTGAGAAGTACCCTGCACAGAGCTGGGAAGTATAACTTCTTGTAAGAATTTTTATATATTTCACAATTTGCTGAGCAGACTTTAAAACAGAAATGAAGAAAAGTCACCCAAGAATGGCTACCCTGGAGAAACGTAAGTGAATTGCTTTAAAGTGTATTCTTGCTGTTTTTCAATCTTTTTGTGCTGAAGTATGTGCAATTTGTTTTGTCTAGCCTAGTGACATTCACAGAGTGTTTGAGTAAATCTCTAGAAACTGTAAAATAGTTCCAGTGGAGCTGACATGAATTGTCTGCTCTTATTTTTAATATGTGCTGTACTATCATAAATTTAGAAGCAAAGCTTGACAGGTCTCACCACTTTAAATTCTAGGTTTTCTTGCTCTCTTCTAGAGTGTTCTTCAGAGCTGCTTCACACAACTCTGTCCTCCTTTCTGTCTGCAGATGACTGCAAGTTAAAGGTTACTTAACCAAACTGTGAGCTGCTTCTCTGCCATCTCGAACTAAATTTAACCCTGCTTCCACTTTCAAGATATTTATAAATGCTTTCCTCCTTAGTGTTATCTTAGTACTTTTCTTCAAGGCAGAGTTGACATTCACTTTGGCTTTCCCTGCTCTGCAACAAATATGACTCACTGATAGATAATTAGTAATTATGCAACTGTCTTTTCGGGAATAGAGAACAATGACAGCTTTGAGCAGCTTTTATCCTTATTATGAGAAGCAGGGGAAACGGTGACTAATTGGTTGAAGCAAAAGTTCCAACACATTAATGCAGTGAATAAAACTGGAATGTTTCGAGCCATGGGCTCTGGGTATGGTGAATGGGACTTTTACTCTTGATTCAATTATATCCATTAACTGCATGTGTAGTGATTATTACCAGAAGCCTTTAATTTCATTCTAATTGAATTGTTATACCTTTCAGGATGGTAATTCTGTAGCCACTGTCACTTCTGAAAAATTAATAACCTGACATGTAAAAGCAAGGCCTCTTGCTTCTTTATGAGCATATGAAAAAAACTAAAGCATGAACTTACTATAAGATTCTTTGAAATGAAAAAATTAAAACCACCACTTGGTTAAAATTTTCTGGGATGTAGAGTGCACATTAAATCTTACATTGCCCTCGCCTCATATGGTAGGCGTTTCTGCTACATCCTTTGTGTATGCCCTATCTCTACTGTAGAAACAGCGATTCAGTCTACCACCAGATGTGTCAGAAAGTAGTTGTGGTATTCTTGTTTTACCCAACAAACATCTGAATTCCCACTTAAGCAAAAATGATTCTCTACTTAGCCACTATTAACTTTCATGTATCATTATCAGCCTTAATCCAGATTCAAGATGGCATCATATATTTGGATATAGTAAGAAAGCCTTACGAAACTCATTATCCCGTCCTTTCCTGATGAAATTATCCCAGAACTGGATGTCTAGGGACACAAATAGTTACTGCACCTAACTTGGACGGAATTCAAGAATCTAAAGTTAGGAGGCTTGATTTCCTCTGTTATGGAGTTTTCTCAGTATGATTCAGAATCATAAGGCAAATGCTTAAAATAAGCAGGGACTTTTCAAAAGCAGTCATATTGTGGGGTGGGGAGAGAAAGACTTGTGGAAATGAAAGAAAACAGTTAAGTTATGGGAGCAGGCTGAATATTGTTAGTATTTGCTGTTGTGTTACTATGTGTGTGGAATTGAGGCTGTACTGACACTGCATTGTGTCACGTGGCTCATCATCTGCATTGTATATAAAGTGTGCGGTCCAAACGGGTAAATCGGACAAGTAGTTAACTCTAAGTGAGCAAGTCTGTCATCTGGCATGTCTCATTTAATCTACTCTCTTAGGAGAGTGCTTATTCAACTTAAAGATTCAGATTCAGTTTGGAGAGGGACAGCAGCTAGAGATGTTTAGAATATTGCTGACACCACATGGAAGTTTGTAGAGTCTGTGGAAGATGAGGTTTTCTTTGCAATTTACAGAATAGAAATCTTCTTGCAAGTTAAGTTATTTACATGGCATAAAGTGCAGCAGTGTGTCCCACAAATACACATTAATCACTCCCATGAACGGAAGCCCAGTCTGTTAAAATAGGCTTTAAAAATCTGTTGTACTTCAAGGAGGTAATTAATTTTGAACAAATTGCATATGCTAGAACAAGAGGACTTGATAGTGACTGTAAGTCCTTAGCAGGAAGAGTGGAAATGTCCCAATCTGCTTGCTGTGCTGTACAATGTCTTCCTTCATGTTTCTTCAAGGACTTTCAACTTGATACGCTTAATTTTTAAGTTGCACTTCAGTTAATAGTTAAGTATAATTCTACAGTTGCATGAAGTTACTTTTACTTAGAGAGGAACAAGTTGTGTTTTGTTTGCCTGTATCTTTCAAATCCATCTTGCCTTTACTGTTTCATAAAGGCTCTCCCAATTTAGGTCGGAGACCTGCTATTTGTTGCATAAAGCACTGGTGTGGTTTAACCCAGCATGTGGCTGAGCACCATGCAGCCACTCGGTCACTTTCCCCCCCCCCACCCAGTGGGATGGGGGAGAGAGTTG